AGGAGGACAGTAGTGTGGGCCAGGGGAGGACTTACGCTGCTGTCGCGGCTGGAGGGAGGCCGCAAGGAGGACGAGGCCAAGGCCAAGGGGGCTGGGCCTCAGGGAGCCGGTTCCAGGGCGATCAGGGGGTTGGCGGCAGAGGAGGGAACCGCCAAGCGGGAGGTAGGGGTCAAGGTCCCCCCCAAAACCGTCCTAGGAACAGGTCTCCCTATAGAGTAGGAGGATGGCACCCAGGGCTACCTCAGGGTAGGCCGTGGGAATCTTTGGGTCTGGACCAGGCTTTATGACAACAACGATTGAACCGGGGCCAGTGCATTTTCTGCGGTGACCTGGGGCATATCATCAAATATTGTCCTAAGTATCGAGAGACCCGAACGACTGCTCAAGTGCCAAAAGGCAGCCGCCGGTAGGGGTAGCAACTGCCCCTACCACTAGGCCATGTGGGGAAAATAGCGCTAGCCGTCAGGAGACTCCCACACCACATGTGCCTAYGGCAGAGGTTGCAGGCCGGTGTCTAAACAGCTGTCCCGAGACTGCTTGTGTTAGAGTTTCGCTAGACACCTCCCTCACAGGCGTGGCAGAAGAGTTGAAGGAGAGGAGGCCCGCCTGGGCCAAGATGAAGAAGGAGAATAAAGGGCAGCTGATTTTATTAGATGCAGAGATTTTTAGAAGTAGAGTAGGGGCCCTAGTAGACTCAGGGGCCACCCGCAGCTATATTAGTAAGCAAGCGCTGCAGAAGTTGAGGCTGGGACTTAAGGTCCAGAAACTGACAGACCCCATAGTTAGTATCCTCGCGGACAATCGTACCATGGTTGTAGAGGATTACGTAGAGGGAGTTCAGGCATATTTCCGCCTAGAGAAAGATGGGAAGGTGGAGAAGGTCCTCCACTCCCTAACTCTCCTCGTAGAGGACAACCTCCCGTTTGATATAGTACTGGGAATTGATTGGGGAGAGGCAGCCAGCGCAACGCTCCATCTGAAGGAGCACGAGTGTAGACTCCCTAGTTCTGCAGGCGAGGCTAAGATTGCCCGCCTGTTTCATGTGTCAGGAGTAGAGAATTCCTTGGCATATTGCTACCTTAGTGCCCCTGCGTTCGCCAGATTGGTGAAGAAGGAGAAATTAGAAGAACAAGTCTTTGTTGCCTATGTTAGGCCCGTCACTGAGCCTACGGAAGAGAAGCCGATGGACCCTGCGATTGCCAAGCTGCTGGAGGAGTTTAAGGATTTGACTGAGCCGCTGACAGGCACGGTGCCGCGGCCCATCCAGCACCGTATCGAGATAGAGCCTGGCAGTAGAACTCCTAAGGGTGCTGTGTATAGGATGTCCCCTTGGGAGTTAGAGGAGCTTCGCAAGCAATTAGACGAGCTCCTCGAGAAGGGTTGGATTAGGCCCAGTTCGTCTCCTTTCCGAGCGCCTGTTCTTTTTGTTCCTAAGAAAGAGGGAGAGCTGAGAATGTGCATAGACTATAGGGGTCTGAATGCTATTACAGTAAAGAATGCTGAGCCACTGCCTAGGATCGACGATCTCTTAGATCGAGTGCAGGGGGCTAAGTATTTCTCTAAGATAGATTTAAAGTACGGATATCATCAGATAGAGGTACACCCTGATGATCAGTATAAGACAGCCTTCCAAACTAGGTACGGGCATTATGAGTTTATAGTGATGCCCTTTGGACTAACCAATGTGCCAGCAACTTTTCAGCGGTGTATGAATGATTTGTTTAGGCCGTGGTTAGACAAATTCGTTGTAGTTTATCTAGATGACATCCTAGTGTTTAGCCGGACCCTCGAAGAACATCGAGGTCATCTCAGGCAAGTCTTGGAGAAGCTGAGAGAAGCTAACTTCAAGATCAATGCAAAAAAGTGCGATTGGGCGAAGACCCAAGTTTTGTATCCAGGCCACGTCTTAGACGGAGACGGCGTTAAGCCAGAAGATAGCAAGATCACAGCGATTAGAGATTGGCCCACGCCACGTACGCTGACAGAGTTGCGCTTGTTCCTGGGCTTAGCGAATTACTACAGGAAGTTCGTAAGGAACTTCTCCACCATTGCTGCGCCCCTTCGCAGATTGCTGAGAAAAGAGACAATCTGGAAGTGGGACAAGGACTGCACGTCCGCCATGAAGAAGCTAAAGCAGGCGTTGATAGAGTATCCGGTCCTTAAGGTCGCCGATCCGTCCTTGCCTTTTGTTGTTACTACGGATGCTAGCCAGTACGGCATAGGCGCAGTGTTACAGCAAGACGATGGCAATGGCTATAGACCCGTAGAGTTCATGTCCGCTAGAATGCCTTCAGAGAAGGTTGCGACATCTACCTATGAGAGGGAACTCTACCTGTCTCTTATACACATCTAGATGTGTATAAGAGACAGGCTGTAGACTGTCTGAAGGGTCAAGGTCGTAGCTGCTACTTACCTGAAAGGGCAAAGTCGTAGCTGCTACAGTACCGAAGGGCCAGCGTAGAGGTTTCTAGAACTGGCCTTTCGGAGTTGGCCTGCGTTCAGCAGAGGCAAGTGGTCAAGTGGTGGTAGTCCACCTAGCCCAGTCAGCAGTCCCAGGTAGCCCAGTCCGGTCCAATCAAGCAAGTGCTGCCTATGATCTGTCTCTTATACACATCTAGATGTGTATAAGAGACAGGACCGTTTGAGGGACTCAATCGGGATCAGATTCAGAGATTGTCGCCCGGGACCCGGGAGTTCGCTGTACAGCACGAGAAAGAACTAGCTATTGTTGTAGAAAACCTCAGGAAAGCCCAGCATAGGATGATAGAACAAGCAAACAAACATCGTCGCCCTTCACAGTTTCAAGTAGGCGACTTAGTCTGGGTTAGTTCGAAAGAGTTTGCACGTGAGGAGAACATCTCGCAGAAGTTACTGCCCACATATAGAGGACCGTGGCCAGTCCTAGAAGTCAAGGGTGGCAAAGATGAACCGTCCTACACCATAGAGTTGCCAGCTCACCTCCACACGTACCCAGTTTTCCATGCATCGAAGCTGTTACCTTGTCAAACAAGTGATCAGTTTCCATCTCGTAGATCAATGATCCCACCGGATATGGATGGAAGGTATGACATAGACGGTATAGTGGTTGAGGATGTCTTCAGAACCGGAGGTAGGGGTCGTCCGCAAAAACAGTACAAGGTTCATTTTAGCTATCAAGAACCGGAAGACGACCGCTGGTTTACAAGATCTGAACTTCTAGAGACAGCTCCCGATATAGTCCGCGCCTACGAAAGACAGCAGAAGGGTAAAGGTCCTGCCTTGGACTGAATTTTTCTCGGAGGACCTCGAATTTTGGCCGGCGGGAGTGAAACGGTATTCACCAGTTCGCAGTAGCAAATGCAGATCCCAGGGCTCGATCCCTAGTTCCCCATCTTACCTGTGTACAGTATTGATGACAACCCGTAGATTTGAACCTGCGACCTGTCGAAACGCCAGTGGTAGGTAGATTGTTGTAGGTCACAGCTAAGAAGGGAATCGAACTGTAGACCTGTACGGTAGGAGTCTAGACACTTCCGAAGTCTTAGCTGTAGGATGTCTGAAGGGTCAAGGTCGTAGCTGCTACTTACCTGAAAGGGCAAAGTCGTAGCTGCTACAGTACCGAAAGGCCAAAGTAGAAGTTTCTAGAACTGGCCTTTCGGAGTCAACCCTTGTTTAGGCCGAGGCAAGTGGGCAAGTGGTGTAGGTCCACTACGTAGAGTCAGCAGTCCCAGGTAGCCCAGTCCGGTCCAGTCAAGCAAGTACCGTCTGGGACTGTGCACATCGTGGGCCAAGGGATACAGGGCAGACCAACGCCGCACAGAGGTATAAATCAAGAGGCTGCGTCCAGCCATTCAYTCATTCCTGCGGATGCCATGCGGAAGCGCTGCCTCAGCAGCTTGTGCGAGGAGGTATGCAGTGCGCCCGAAGACGAAGAGGGCAGTGAAGTGTAGTGTAGCGATAGGATAGTGGCAGCCATAGCTGCCATAGCTATAGTAGCGTGTGTGTGTGTGTGTGTTGCGTGTAGAATGTTGCGTGTGGGACATCCAGGGTGATCCAGAGTGCGAACAGTGAGTTGTGTGGGCGCTCAGTCGCCATAGCCAGTTTGAAGGGAACTCCTACCTGGTTACGATATCTTTGAGTACTGTGTGGGCGCATGTCGCCAGTTTGCTGTTTCGCTGTTTGCATGCATGACAAGTGTGAAGAAGCCGAGTCTGATTGCAAAGATTGTTTCGTCGGAATTGCACCGACTCATCAGGAGGCTGAACCCTCAACAATCTGCGGGAATCTCCGTATTAGATGGTTTGGGTCATGAACCCTTTGACCCTTGTTGAAGGCAGACTGTCTCCAAGTGGAACACAGCAGCGGGCGGCGACCCTGTGGAGCACCAGGCAGCACAGTAGAGGCAACACGACTGC